ATAACAAACTGACAGCCCACATCTATTGCCCGCAAACTTATGCTAATGATCAGGTTGAGGTAGGCTGTTTTATTCTTGATATGCAACCAAAATTGTATTTATACCAAATCAGTATATAGTGGTTGCTTCACCATCATCCAGAAATGTTTGCTTATCATTTATTTCCAATTTATGTGTTTGTTAATTTCTTTCCTTTAGGAGCTCAAGGCGGTTATAAAGGATTCTCTCCTGCAATTTTTCCAACAATAATTCTGTGAAGTTCTGTAGATTCAACTGAGAGAGACTGGTCCAAAGAAACTCAGTGAGCTTCCATGACTAACAGTAGACCAGAACCTGTATTTTCTTGGAGCCAGTTTAATATCTTAACCTTTATGCATTTAACCAGCATTAAAGAAAATCTGACTGCATGGAAATTGCATTATAGGCCAAAAAAACTGGTACTTTATAGCATTATTTGAGGGTGCAAGATAAAGACAGGATATGTTGTCTTCTTGTTCCCATTTGTCTTTACTTTATATGACAATCTTGTCTGTTGTTCAGTATGGATGTTCATATCCAACTCTTTGCAATCGCATTGATCATAGCATGCCAGGCTTCCCTGTTCTCCACTGTCTCCCAGAGTTTGGCCAAATTCATGTTCATAGTCTTACCCAAGTTTTCCCCAACTCTTTTAAAATGCAAATTGTGGAACTAAATCTGGGTAAGGAAGGAAGGAAGAAAAATTTACTTAAACTTTTGCTCCCAGGTATATCTATATCTATATATACTGCCTATATCTATGCAGTTTTTCTGGCCATTGCCTACTTACAGGATACTTTCCAACTTTTGAAGCTTGCCTACAGTCTAGGAATTTCCAGGTGGTTTCCCATCCAAATGCAACCAGGCCTGATGCTACTTAGCCTCCAGGGTCAGACACGATCAGTCAGGTGCTGCCACCAGGCTGAGGCAAGTGTAGTAGTTACCATGAGAAATAAAATTCATCCCACCCACATAACCAGGGTGAAAAGGGAAAGGAATGTATTTGTGGCAGTAAAAGAATGGAAGCATCTTGCGTGTTTACATTTTATTGCTGTCACTAGTGGTGCCATGTCAAGAACAGCCTTCTCAGGGGGCACAGCCTGATTTGTAGAGCGACTGCATTTTTGTAGCTTTCCTTAGCGCAGCCACCACAAGCGAGAAAGGGACACACTCACTTAACTATACCCTTAAAACGCTTCTAAAGATGCCTCCCGAAAGTCACAGTCCGTCCTTAGATTGTTCAATTTTTGGAATTCTTCGGGAGTGAGAACAGACTCTGTTGTCAACAGAGTCCTGTTCACAGAAACTAGGCAGGAAAATGAAAGAAGGGTCTCTATTGTTCAGGGATGTGGTGTAGGCTGCAAGAATGTGTGGGGAATGTGAAGTCTGCATATCACGGAGAAAGAGGGGCCTTTGTGTGAAAACACTGAAGCAGAATGTCAATCATATAAATAACTCTTACCTCATTTTTTATTCGAAGCATGGCCGTCATAATTTTCAAACCATATATCAATGAGCATGGATATTATAGGTTTCCTGGAGCATATTGCTTTCAACTTCCCACCCTGCCCCTCACCCTTCCCAGTCTGCCCGCCGCATTTAGTCAAACCCTCTAACATAAAAACAGAGACAGAAAAAAAGATTTGGGGTCTCTATTTAAGTGAGATCACTGAGTCCACTGACATGGAGGACTGATTGTGGTGCTTTTGGACAGATTCCTACAGAGAACTACACGTGGAAAACATGACGTCAGAATTGAAAATCCATGTGGATTTTGCAGGAAGGAACTGGGAGGAAAGCAATTGGTTCATGTTGGCTCCAGTTTATTAAGCTCTCTGGTAAAATTCATATGGATTTACAGTTTCAGGCAAATGTTCTTCCCTGTGCATTCCACCGCAAGATTAATTGCAAAATAATCACAGCCTTCTGTGGAAAAATACATCACATCAGAATTGGCTCCTCTCACTATCACCTTCAGTGGACTATGATCTTCCCTTCCAGGCAAATCTTCATTTACTTCTTCTTCAATGCTTGTATAGAAGTTGATAAACTCAGGTGCTGGGATTTGGGGTGGGGTGGAGGGGAAAAATCAATAGGATTGGATTTGAGTGATGTACATCCCACTGGATTACTTAGTATGATGAGGCATGATGCAACCCCACCAAGCTTTGCTGGGAAATTCTTTGAAATCCTGAGCTTAAGGCAAGAGAGAATATTTTAGCTAATAAATGCTTTTGTTCCTCCAACAAGCAAGTTCTTGAAGGCTTGCCTTGCCAAGATAGGAATACCATACCTGCCAAGACAGGATTGGAGTTGGCTTCTATTCCAGAACAGCATCCTACGTGTTGGTTTTATGAGGTGCTGTCTAAGAGAGATCGCCCTTTGAGATACAATATAATTGTTTTGCCTGGCAGTGATAGAAGGAGGTTGAGTGCTGAAATATCACCCACGCTGGAAAAGTTGTTAGCCATTATTTAATTAGATAATGCTATATGCTGCGTCACTTTAAGTACGTCCAACGAGCGTGCCACAGTGTTTTAACTTCAAGTGGGTACTGAAAAAAAAGAAAGAAATCCCTGCAGGTATGATTCTTCAAGAGAATATTGCAGGAATGTGCACAGAGTTAGTTACAAGAAGCTACAAGGTGATCCAGTCCTATCCTTTGAGGTTTCCTGGACTGTATTCATTGTCTTGAGATAAAGAATGCCTCTAAATTGCAAGAACTAACTAGTAATATGCGATATAATGATAGCTGGCTTTGTCAAGTGGGTGGATGACATGAACAAAATGCACTGAAGGAAAAAAAAAGTGATCCAAATTAAATTTGATACTTCTGCATAGTTCAGACTATAAGTTGTCATCTTCCAAACTATTACTTTTCTGTCTGCAGAATTCTGGCTCTAGAGTCAGTAGTGGTGGATCTGTTGCCAAGAGCTCTACCACTGTCTCCAGAGAATAATCCAGAAGCCTTTAAAAACAGACTTGGTGGCTGTAAGACTTTCCCCACTGCTGTGTTAAAATATTTATTTGTTTGTTTAAACATTTACATGGTTGCCCATCTTAAAATAACATTTATTTATTTATTTATTTATTTATTTATTTATTTATTTATTTATTTATTTCCGTTATTATTATTTTTTTACAAATAACTCAAGGCAGGAACTTTCCTGTTCCTATTTTCCCCACAACCATCCTGTGAGGTGAATTGGGCCGAAAGAGAGTGCCTGGCCCAAGGTCACATAGCTGGTTTTCCTTGGCTAAGGTGGAACTAGAAGTCATTGTTTCCTGCTTTCTGGCCTGGTGCCTTAACCACTAGCTCACCATCCTTGAATCAGTGCAAACCACCAAATCTGCTGCCCCTTCTTCTTGCCTGTATGGCCTATCTTGCCTGTATGGCCTATTACTCTGTTTCAAAACACTGGCAGCTCCAGTCCCTCCAAAGCATTTGGTACATCATGGAGACCCAGCACAAGTACAAAAGCGCTAAGCACAGATCTGAAAGCAGAATATTTTGGTAGGCCCTCCCTTCATATTCAAACCAGATATTTATCTTTTGCCAGACCACCAGTATAGTACTCCAGCATGTTGTGCAAGAACTATAATTTGGCCATGGAACCATTTGCAGCACTCTTTTAAAAAGGCATATATGCAGGCTGTATTCACTCAACATTCAATCAATTGGGTAGAACCATTCCTATTCAAAGGCATGATATCTACAATGGATATTATCTACAATGTCATAAAGAAAACTCAGCAGTTTCCAAATGCCCCTACCGGTATTATTGACTTTTGTTCTGGCAGTGCCTTGACCCATGCTGCAGGGACTGACTCAAGAGCTATGTGCTGTAATAAACGTTTACAGAGAAAGGGCTTAGCAAACAACCATTTCAGCATAATGGGGAATTCTCCTTCAAGCTCCTTCAACATTCCATTCATATTCATCTTCCTTATCTGCTCTGTCAGTTTGCAAGAAACAGTTTGGAAAACGAGATCAGAGAAGGTGTCAACCCCGTGTTCAAATGCCTATTCCTCCAATCCATAGAATTTCCATATTTAGTGCACATTGTGCAAGTGATTGCAGAATGAGTTGTTCTGTTTGGAAGACAATCCTATTCAGACTCTCCTGGATTATCCTGGACTCTGTTCCTGTTTGCATATGAAATTTCATATAATTGCACATGTATTTATCCAGATTGGCCTGAAGAGATAGTGCAAAAGAACAAGTTTGAACTATTTTGAATATGCTCTTTTGGCACAGAGTTTAATTTCCGTAGCAAGGGGAAAGCATACCTTGTAATGTTTAAACAGAAGTTGCTTTTTTCAAGACCACTAATAGGTCTGGGTAGTTCCATGCCCACAAGGTGAGTTATTCGGTGATGTCTGAGGTCTGTGAGGAGCTGGCTTGTGAGAGGAACAAGCAGGAAGTTGGTCCTAGTAAGACAGAAAGAGTTGTGTTTGAATAGTCACTAGGTATTAACAGAAATTCAGTTTCTGAAAATGTTTGGCAACCATTGCCTTTTTATTAAAGAGGGCCATTCTCCACTATTAACTTGCCTTTAATTCACGTCATGGCAGTAACCTAATATCCCTTCAGTAACAGTAACAGAGTTGGAAGGGACCTTGGAGATCATCTAGTCCAACCCCCTGCTCACATAGGAGACCTATACTAGGGATGGGTCATGGGTAACAAAGTTTTTATACACCTTAGATCCGGTGGAATAAGGGGAAAATATTACTTTGAAACTGGTACAGCCAAGGACAATTTCAACCTGTATTACTCATACTGTAGGTTGCAGAGGAGATACCTTGATTTCCTATTGCTATGGTGTTTATTTATTTGTGTGTTTTCTTGTTTTCTGTATATGTCTTCCATTTGTATGGCTGTCCACTTATTGCTAAGAACAAAGCCAGCTTGTCATTTATCAAGGAGAAAGGGAAAACAAACAAACTCTAACACTTATATTCCTGTTTCATTTTTCTAGACTACTCTTCGCACACAATGAGCCACAAGATCTACAAGGAACAAAAGCAGTTTGGAGATCATCAAATCCTATCTATTGCTTAAGGCGAAAAAATCAGCAGCATGTGTACATTTATCTGGTCTTATTCACATAAAGACACCTAAAATCTGAGCAGTTGCTGTGAAGAGATCTTGTGCAGCTAATCAAGCTATCTTTCTTCTTTGAGAAACTATAGACAGAACGTGATGTTCTGTCGAGTGCTAAAGGCCAAAGTGTGGGAAAAAAGGTGAAGCTAGAGATGCCGTGAAAGCAAAAAAAAAAAAAAAAAATGAACCGTCCATAAGCTCAATAGAGATTTATACTGTACTTTTCATAGTATTATGGAAAAGCTAAAAGTTGTAATTTGATGTTAATGCCTTATTTTACTGTAACACAGAGAGAGTTGGAAGTCAATGCTTCTTTTTCTTTTTTCCCTATCTTTCCTCACTTCTCTTCCCTCTTCCCCCCCTCTATTTACTTTTTTGTATTTTATAATACTTTATAACTCAATAAAAATGTTAAACTTGAGATTTGTACTGTACTTTTTTTTAATAAGGCTAAGGTAACCTTTATTGTACAGTTTTCTGGGTCCACAATGGCACACATTAAAATTCTGATGCCCACTCTCAAAAGAATACATACACACACACACACACACACACACACACACATACATATACTGTATACACACACACACACAGACAGACAGAGATAGAAATAGAGCTAGAGATAGATAGAGACAGAAATAGAGATATACACATATATAAATATGGACTATGTGGCATACATATATTAAAAATGGACTGTGATTTTCTCTATATAAATTATATATAGAAAATATACTCAGCCTCAGCCCCAGCTGAGAAGATTTGGTCTATTGAACTGTCTTTTTAAAAATACCTTATGTATCATTTATAACTTTATAGAAAACTATATGTTAAATCCCATATTATGCTAGGAAAATTAAATCACCCTGCTCCCATAGCAATGTGAAAAGAGAGACAAGCTACTTACTGTTTAGCCCAATTAATGTGGACAGTGGCTATGCTTTCCATCAGACTTATTCAACAGGAAGAAGTCCCAAATAACTAAGTTCAATAATCAAGAGGGGACCTTGATAACATGTTTCTACCATTCAGCAAAGAATTATGATACTACCACTCATACAGATAAATTTAGTACCTAGAAAGTTCATTGGAAGCAATATGTGAAACAAGAGACATATTTTCAGCTTCAAATGATCTTGTTAGGTATGCATTCACTCAATAAAGATTTGTCTTTTTTAAAAGGATACATCTTTCTCTCTGCACCCCCCCCCTTCTCTCACATATACATATATACATGCCTTGGTCATATCTTGGTCACTGGTCAATGAAAATTCTCACTCTCTCTCTGTTTCTTATAAATATTTACCATTTGCCATTTATTTCCCATCCTTAACAGATACGTAAATATTTCATTTAAATGGAAACAAATTTCCATTTAAATGAAATATTTAATTTGCTTTTCCCACCCTGTACTTGCACTTCTGAATGCTATGGAGTTTCACTTTTGATTTTAAGCAGTTTCATTTTCTAAGTGCCATAGCCTTGTGCAATATTTGCATTCCAGGCACTGTAGGAGAATGTTGAAACCATAACTTCAAAGCTATTTGTTAAAGAATTTGTTTTATCAGTCATTCAGGCTCTTCATGTTAGGTTAAAACAACAAAGAAAAGGTGCCCTTTACCTAGTTTAATATCTCACTGTTCTTTCCCCACGAAACCCTCTGAAAAAGCTCCTCTGGCAGTTGGGAGAGCCTAGAGAAAGGATTAGGATAAGGAGCAAACCACTGTACTTGTAGCGTGAATTTTAGAAGATTGACTTACCAAAATGCCTCCAGCTAGTTTCCCGTTTTGGTTTTTTGAGTTTTGGGGTTTTTTGCTTTGCCAGAGAACTCTTCACCTGTAATTCAGGAGAATGGGCACACTCTCCATCTATTGACTGGTATGCTTTTCAACGTTGCTCCATAGTGCTTTTCAATCTACTTTAAAGCTCAATTGAGAGATCCCTTCATCAATTGGCTGGGAAGAATAGGATGTCACAGCTATATATACTGCTCAAAAAAATAAAGGGAACACAAGCAGAAGACATCCGAGATCTGAATGAATGAAATAGCCTTATTAAATACTTTGTTCTTTATATACAGTACTTTATACACTGCTCAAACAACTAAAGGGAACACAAAACTACTGTATGTAACAAACAAAGTATTTAATAAGGCTATTTCATTCATTCAGATCTTGGATGTCTTCTGCTTGTGTTCCCTTTATTTTTTTGAGCAGTGTATAAAAATGCATAGAAATTGGGAGTTAGAATTCGTTCATTCTGATTCCCAGGTTGGCTGGATGTCTAATTACAAAGAAGAGCAGCAATCAGTATCCACAATACTATATGTTAATCTTTGAGCTACACTATTGCATCAACAGCTGGAACATGCAGTCCAGACAGGTATGCATATGGAGGGAGTATAGATGGGTATCAAGAGACCTACACTACTGTCACAATCAATATTTTAGGAAAATTCTCTTCCATCCTGTGGTGAGGCAGTCCCAAGTTTAGTACTCTTGAAAAACAAGTTTCCAGCAATTTCATCAATAAACTTGGGGCCTTATATCCTCCCCATTCTGCCTTCTGGCATCTTTAAGGATAGCTCTACAAATCATTATTTCCACCCTCCAATCTCTTGCAACACAATCTGAAGCTTACCTGCAAATATATTCACTTCTGATGACATTATTAATCCAAAAAATGTTTAGAGGCCTACAAAACCAATCAGCATTTCCTCCAGCTGTCAAATAGGAGAGTGTAAAAGAGTCACTTAAGCCATGTCATACTCCAAGTCTTTTTTAACAATTTTTTTTTTAAAAAAAGCCTTTTTAAAGGAAAATAAAATTAATTGCTAACACCACCATACACCTATTCTTCTTTTACTGATCTGGAAGAGGGTTTTCTTTTGTATTGAGCATGCATAATGGTCTGTGAGAATGTTCTTGAGAAACAGAAGAGGAGGAAGAAGGGCCATGGTCAGATAAGACCATTGCTGCTTGCAAAGATCGATGTTGATGTCAGAGATGTATTTTCAGTCTTGTAAGATTCTGTTAATGAAATCTTATAATAAAATTAAAACCGGTACTTGTGGGTGTGATTCTTATCTAGACTACTATCTACTTATCTATTATTATTATTATTTACTTCATTCATTAAACATGAAACGCAGCCAACTGAACATTCAAAAATGCATCACATTTATATTTATATATATATATTTTATTATTATTATTATTATTATTCTACACAAAAATGACAGTATACACAGCAAACGAGATAACCATGCTGGGTTTTGTATCACAAATCACTAGTCGAGCACTTCCCAAGTGTTTAGGACTGCGTGATGTATCAGCGGATTATGCGAGCAGATCCGAGTAAGGTGGGCTTCTGCAGCTGACCAATGGTGATCTTGTCAGCACCAATTGTTTTTAAGTGCTTGCTTAGGCACAGCTCCCAGTGTGCCGAGTACCACTGGAACCACCTGCACTGATTTATGCCAGAGTCTCTGCAGTTCGATTCTCAAGTCCTGATATCTGGTGACTTTTTCAAGTTGTTTCTCATCGATTCTGCTGTCACCAGGTATGGCAATGTCGACGATCCAGACTTTTTTCTTCTCCACAATCGTGATATTTGGGGTATTGTGTTCCAAATACTTTGTCAGTCTGTATTCAGAAGTCCCACAGTAGTTTTGCATGCTCATTTTCGATCACTTTTTCAGGCTTATGATCCCACCAGTTCTTTGTTACAGGCAGATGGTAGTTGTGACACAAGTTGTTGTTGTTGTTGTTGTTGTTGTTGTTGTTGTTGTTGTTGTTGTTATATTTACCTAGACAGATCTTGATGGACTTGAATACTGGTCCCTATCCAACAAAATACAATTCAGTGATGAAAAAAGTCAGATTTTATACTTAAGCAAGAAAAAACAAATACACAGGTATAGAATAGATGGTACTTTGCTCAATAGCAGTAATTGTGAGAGGGATCTAGGAGTCCTGGTGTACAACCACTTAGCTAGCAGTATGCTGCAGCTACCCAAAAAAAAAGCCAAGTTCTGGGCTGCATCAACAGAGGGATAGTATCAAGTTCATATGAGGTGTTAGACCCACTTTATAATGCATTAGTGAGAATACCCTTGGAATTCTTCATCCAGTTTTGTTCACCATGATACAAAAAGAGATGTTGAGACTCTAGAAAAAGTGCAGAGAAGAGCAACAAAGATGATTAACGGACTAGAGGCAAAGATCAGTTGTAGGAATGTCTAGTCTAATGAAGAGAAGGACTAGGGGTGACATGATAGCAGTATTTAAGGGGTTGTCACAAAGCACCTGAAGGCAGGACAAGAAGTAACTGATGGAAATTTATCAAGGAGTGTTCCATCCTAAGGAGAAATTTCCTGACAGTGAGTATTACTAATCAGTGGAATGGCTTGCCTTCAGAAGTTGTGGGTGCTCCATTACTGGAGGTTTGTTATTTTTTTTTAAAGAAGAGATTGAATAGTCACTTGTTTGGAATGGTATAGGTTCTCCTGCTTGAACAGGGAGTTGAACTAGAAGACATATCAGGTCCTTCTGTTATTCTGTTATATGATATCCTCAGAAGGCTGACAGCAGTGGACAGAACGGTCTGCTGCATTCTATGGCTTTTCAGCAAATATTTCAAGGATGGTTTCCTAAATTGTATGTCTTAGTAACATGATTTGACTTATGAATTAGAAATGTTATGCTCCACTGATAATTTGAACCACATACCTTGCACATATGTAAGGAATTTTTGCACGTTCTATATAATGTATATGTTTCAGTTATATTGTTCAGCTAGTTTTTAGACCTCTTCCAAAGTCTGGAGCTTGTTTGTATTTCTTTTCCTAACTCTAAAGCCTATGCAAACACAATTAACAACATGCAATGCCAATCCATTATCTTCCCAACTGAAGTCTCTATAGAAGTCCATCAGGCAAGATTAAAAGAAAATAGAAATTCTGTAACAGTGATTATATAGAATCAACATATACATCTATGCTGAAAACAACAACAAAATGAAATGAAATGTAGCTGGATTTATGGAAATTACCAAAATATTTAATCTATATCTAACACTACACCCATAATTCAACATTTTCTGTGGTGAACCACAAGAGAAATGAGAGATAGTTGTGTCATTTCCAACATCTTTGGGGCCTGTTTTATATGTATCACATGTCACTGGGAGAAACTGTCCTAAACTTTCTCATAATATACAGTACATGTTTTTCTTAGAAATCAAAGGAAGAAGACATTTTTTATCTATTAAAATAGACTTTGACATATTTAACACAAAAGGCCAATTAACAATTACCAGTTCCCAGGTAAACCAAACAGAAATACAACTAGATGAGCTATTTCTACTTTATTGCAAAGCTATATTAACAGGATCTTTCAAGTCTGAAGGTACAAAGTTCCT